AGATTGGTAACTGATTATCAAGGCATGTTAAAAATGTACAGAGGTGCCATATTAAGGTTTTATCTGTCTCTTTTTGAGGAAATTTTTCAATTACAGTCCAAATTGTAAATAAAGATAAATTATCTTAGAATATAAACTTTAAGTTACTATATTACAAAATGTTAAACTAAAATTATGGAAGTAAAACAAATTTATCAAGTTATTAGGGCTTGAGATGTTGCTAAGTAGTAGAGGCACTGAGTTTGAGCACCATCACCACAAAATTTATCCTACTAAAATAGTATTTCAATTGTTTTGTTATGTTTATATCATATATTAATATGGTATATAAAATATGACATTTTAATTAAAGAAGAATGGATTTAGACTGAAAAATCTACTTAAATATTTGACTTCTTATGAATTTTCATTTTGTGTACCTGTTTTGTGTGCATAGTATCAGTACTTTTATGATATACTAATTAGTATACATATGTTGGAAATTATAAAGAAAACATTTTATTGATAAGGAAATGCGATCAAAAAGTGCAAAAAACTCAAATCTAAAAAATATAAATCACTGGATTCCATGAAGTTGGTTTTATTCTTGTAGTTATTTAATCCTTATTTGGTATTTCTTAGAAGAGTTGTCCAAATTCAATTTAAATCAGTAACTGATATGCCTATAGCAGGGTCTCCCTTAACTCCAACTTCCTCATCTATAAAATGAGGGGAAAATAGGACAGAGCTCATTGGAACTGTTGTTGGACTTACGCGTGCTGACTCTTGGGAAGGGCTTCTTCAGACACCCTATCTGAACCTGCTCAATAAATAATTAGCGATTTTGATAATGATGCTGATTAGGTTGAAGAAATGAAAAGACAATTTAAAAACCAATATTCCCAACATTTTACTAGCATTGTAAGCAGGAGAGACAAATTTAATGTATGGTTGTTACCTCTTAACTAGTTTGTAATCTTTCTAGAAAGAAATGATCGTACACATGAAACAAGTAACAACCTAAACATAAATGTCATAGATTGTATGCCAAGTATTACCATGTATTGAAGAGTATACAGAGAGCTCTAAATCCATAGACAAATGAATTGACAGAGACAGAAATCCAGAAATCCTATTTTAGGCTGTATATATGTATTTAGAATTACAGGAAACACCACTGTGTTATTTCATAATTATTGCCATAAATGAAAATCTAATTTTAAAAAATCATCAGTTTGGTTGAGGGGTTTGGTCTTTTATTGAGGAAGGGGCATGGACAGGCAAAAAATGCATATTGTTAAATGATTCTGTTAGTTTGCCTTCACGTAGTCTCATAAACAGCAATAGTATCAATATTAATCACGACCATCTACTGAGAGACTACCATGAGTCAGGCATGTCAGGAACTGTACTGCCTAATTAATCTTGAGGGAATGCTCCTTCTGCAGATGAGGAAATGAGGACACATTAAGTAACCAGCCCAAGGTCATATGACTGATAAGAGGCAAGGGCTGAGAGCCAAACCCAGCCTGTTTTATTCAAAACTCTCATTCACCCTTTCCATTCACTGAGGGAGTTTCTATTTATAATTCTGTTGATGTTACAAAGATGCATCTAAGACTTTTCAGTTTCATTTAATTTGCTCTGTTTTATTTAGGGATTAGTTGTTCTTCCAATCACTTTTAATTAAGCCTAGATTTGCTTGGTTGGCCAAAACATTCTCCAGATTTAACTCTAATCACTATAATTTATTTTGCATAAGTACAATTGTACAAATATAATTTCCTCTTCTAGAAGCATCCTTCATTTCACTGAAGGAGGGGACTTTCCTGAATATTTGGATTCTTTAGAGAAAACTTCAGTGAAGTTACTTTCATGGAGGGATGACCAAACTACTTGAATGTATACTCTATTCACCAAACACCTTCTTGAAGAAAGGGAGAAAAAATTCTCCCAAAGAAATTTCTGCTGATCTGAAAGGATCCAAGATTCCCATCTATTGCTTTTCCAGTTACCATCTAGAAGAGATTGTGGAAAAGAGAGATTGGTATGTAAAACTAAAGGGTAGAACAAAATTTTAAAAATCTTCTAAGCTCATGGGTATCTTGAGAAGGTGGAAGTGGCTACTTCATAGTGACTCACAATCTGACAGCCACTCAGATACCTCTTCTCAAGCTATTTATTTGTAGTTAATGAGGAAAGGGAAGTGCAAGCAAGCAGAAAGTGGAATACATGAGCTAATATGGCAAGCTGTTGGCTTTCCCATAGAAGCGAGGCCGACAAGCATCCTGTCCGCCCTCCAAATCCTTTCTACTTCCTTAAGTTTGGAACAAGCCCTTGGTTATCCTTAGAGAGAGAACCCTTCACTGAAAAGGAGCATGTCATTTTGGAGAGAGCATCAAGAATAAAAACTCAAAAATATGAATTAACCAAATTCCATTGTGGGAAGAGGTGCCCTCAGAAAGGCATTCCCCTCCCCCTCTTATCGTAGGTAGATGCTAATGGCACCTGTGCAACTTGCTCTTCAGAACCATTTGACTAATAGAATCTAAGGAGGTTTGTGGAAGGAAAAGGCGCTACTAAATTTAAGTTACTCCTATTCTCATTCTCTTCCTCTTCAGAAATTTAAACCTCAGAAATGCTGATAGCTTTTTGCTTTCTGTTCAACATTCATTACTTCAACATTCACATCCCAACTCTTTCTTGGTTAAAAACACACCACTTTATCCCCGCACCAAGGTTTAGAATCTTCTAAAGTACCCCAGCATGGGCTAAGTTCTGAATTATATAAGATATGATTTACTTTCTTTTGGGTCAATGTTGTGCTGTCAACAAAGAAAAACTTCTAGAAAAGAACACAATTTGTATACATCCCCAGTGTAGGTCCCATTTATGCCCACAGTTTGGACTGAAACTCAATGGGAAATTCCTGGTAGTGATCAGGGGCTTCCCAAATAGATATTTGTTCCTTTCTTCTTCCATGAAGCCTTCCTGGACCACCACAAGCCAAAGTCATTGCCTCCACTTGAGAATTCTTAAAGTCTATGTTCTACACCACTGTTAGATATTATCAAGCAGTATATTTTATAGTTAGCAGGGAATTAAATAAACATATCCACTCTTCAAATACTATTTGAGCCAGAAAGATGAAATGGCTTTCTCAAATTTGTGCAGCTGGTTATTGGGAGAACATGATCTAGAATCTAGATCTTCTTCTACCTAGTTCAGCACCATTTCCCTCCTCAAGCACACAGTCATCTCCTGTCACTTTATTCTGCCTTCCATTCTCTTTTTGTGTCTTTTCTTTAAATAAGACCACAGCTTGCCTGAAATTACTTAAGGCAAGGCACATATAGTGTTTTGTTTCTAAGAAGAAGAAAAAATAAAACCTCTACAGGCATCTGTCAGTTGCTTAATTTAAATATATAAGTTTAGCACAGGTCAACAGCTAACATTATTTTCTGATGTCTTTTGTTTCAAAACATTTAGATAAGTTTCAAAAGCCATGTCATTATAAAATTGGGATTATATTTACACTCTTGATGCTCCCAGATCTCTTTCTTCCAACTATCTCTAGCAATACTTAATGGCAGTGGTAATAATCAGACTAACAGATACATGAAGGATTGTGTAATGAGCAACTTTAGGGTCTGTTGTCTCCTTACCTTGAGTAAAGCAAAGCTGAGTCCACCAGCAATGCAAAACAGCAACAGCAGGAGCAGCAGTGCAGCCATGGAGAGGAGCCGTGGTGTCCAGAACCCCTGTGCTCCTTGAAGACTTGGCTGGCGTAAAGGAGCATCCTCCATGTGGATCAAACTCATTTCTGGAGGGATAAGAGCTGTGGAAAGCAGATATGCACAAGTGATGGGTGAGCGATGCAATGTCATGTTTTATAGCAATTAGCCGTGGGTGTGGGAGGTGGAGTTTTCCTTTGGAACACTGCTGAGCACTGACAGTCATCCTGGCACCAGGCCAAACATATGAAAGGAATGGGAGGGCTTAGAGCCAACAGAAACACAGGAGGAAAAAAAAAGTCACTACAAGGGAAGTTCAGAAGGGAAAAGTCTTTCCTGAAGCAAGAGGAAATACAGTGCGTACTTGCAGCCAGTCAGCGAGAATAGGATGTTCTACGCCCATCTAAGAGAGCCAGCCAAATAATTTCCAATTAAGAAAGTTACACTTGCAAGAAGAAATAGAGTTGGATGCTAAGTTTTAACACAGAAATACAGGGAGTTTGGGTGTTGAAGAGGCAATGTTGCATGGCTTTAAAAAATAGTCTTAATGAGGTCACCACGTTATGTACTTTGCAAGTATACCATTTTACGTATGCTACATTTTTGTCAGTTGTACCTTAATAAAGGTTTTTTAATCAAATAAATCCTAGGGTTACAAAAAATATTATTCCCTAGGTTATAGAATGTGTTTATTCTAGAGTCTTTAAAAAAAAAAAAAAAGTCTTCAAGTATGTCTCTGTATCTCAGCCTCCTCATCTGTTAAAATAAGTAACTACCTGTTTTACAAAATGCTAGCATCATATGGTAGAGATTGCAGGGGCTTTTGATTCAGACATATCTGAAAGCAATACCTGGCACAGCTGAGCCCTTAACTTCTCTGTGGCCTCAGACATGTTGCTTGACTTCTCTGAGCCTTGATTTCCACTTCAAAATAGTTTTACAAGAATGAAATAAATGTAAAAAGTTTAGCTTATAAGAGATACTCCATAGTGGGTGCTTTATCTTTTCTCTGCCCTCTTTAGAAGTGTGGGGAGTATTAATTCAATTATGAAATTCTAAAAAAAGAATGAGTATTCTTTATACTTTCCATAGGAAGCAACTCAACTGAAGTTCTTTTAAATGAAAGTATTTTCGGATTTTTTTTAATCTAAAAGAAAAGCAAAAGGTTTTTAAAGTTAGAAAAAAAAGAACAGAGATTTTTCACTCTCATGTATGAAAGAGGAAGCTAAGGTGAACAGATAGAGTGGAAATCTAAGCCAGAAAAGATACGATTCATAACTCAGCTGTCTGTCTTAGTGCTGCACTGTGTGGTGATATTTCTTGCTGAGTTGTCAAATTTTTAAGTTAGCTTTATTTTATTTTGATCAATAAACTACCTTTAAGAAGATAATGATGCAGGAATATTTTTTTCAATAGAGCAAATATTTTTTGCCACTTTGAACTAGATAGTACAATGTAGATATGCATTAATTTGGGCATCAATACCCCTGTGTGTGCTCTTTCTTTTTTCTTTTCTTTTTATGGTCTTTTGAAGACATGTCTCCCTGTAGCCCAAGCTGGCCTGGAACCCTCTATGTAGACCAGGCTGGCCTCAACCTCACAGAGATCCACCTGCTTCTGCCTCCCAAGTGCTGGGACTAAAGGCATGCACCACCACGCCCCACATGTGTACTCTTAAATAACACATTGACCTTATAACTCTTGCACTTGTATCATGTCTAGAATTTATATACACAACCCAAAAACTTTAAATTGACCATTGAAAAGCCGAGCTGTTTCCTTCTTGCTTTTCTGGCCTGTTCCTGTCTGTCTCCTGTCCAAATTTTAGATTTCTGCTTACTCACTTCAGTAAAAATTTGTTCACACAAGGAACAGGTCCAAACGAAATCTAGTTCCAGCTTTTGCTAAGATTGGGTGTTGGTATATTCTTATTTTAACTTTATGACAGCATCTGAAGAAAACTGACACATTTATCTCAAGAGGAATGTACATTCCAGGGCCTCTTTCCATTAAACAAAGTTCAGAAATGATGAAACTTCAAGTTAGTACAAGCAACTAGAGGGAAGTCTTTTTGACATTCTAGAGTTCTGAGTCATAACTGGTGTCTTGTTGTAAACTAGGAGGAATGCATATGACATCTCATGATCCGACACTAGTAAATGATCACCAAATTTATTTCTTTTTTAAATTTAGAGCCTATCTTGGCTTAAATATTTGGAAACGAGAGTTTTAAAAAATTAAGTACAGTACCAAATTTAGTTTAAACATGTACTGTCTGCCCAATATTGTGCTAAGAGCTTTGGAGTATACTCATTTTAAAAAGTCAAGGCCACCAAAGAATTGACTAGTTAACCACATTAAAACTGCACACACAGGGATATTGATGTCCCAATTAATACTACACATAGATAGAATTTCAGAAGATAGATCTAGATAAGCTGAAATCAGTGAAAAGGCAAACTGAGAATGGATTGCTTGGCAGAAGAAAGGTGAATATTATGAAGGAATGACAAAACTTGAAGAATAAATACTGAGAGGTTATAGACATCCATAAATGCTAGAACTTAAAAGATAAAATTTAAT